GAGGTCCGACTTCTGGATGAAACCCTTCCCGCAATCGGGACACTTGTAGGGCTTCTCGCCAAGGTGGGTCCGTTGATGTTTGATGAGGTTGGAGCGGACGCTGAAGCTTTTCCCGCAATCCCCGCACTTGTAGGGCTTTTCTCCTGTATGCATCCGGCGATGTTTCACCAATGCCGAATTTTGCCCGAAGCTCTTCCCGCATTCAGGGCAAGTATAGGGTTTCTCCCCTGTCTGTGTCCCTTGGTGCTTGACGTTCTCTGCCCGGTAAGTGAAGCTCTTCCCACACTCGCTGCACTTATGGGTCCTCTCTGGTGCCGGTCGGGCACGGGCACCCCAAAGAAAGCTCTTGCCACAATCGGTGCACTTACAGGGTCGTTCACCGGTGCCGGTCAACAGCCGCCGGCGCTTGTTGGAGGCCAAGAAGCTCTTACCGCAATCAGTGCACTGGCAGGGTTGCTCGGCGCTGGCGTGGACGCGTTGGTGCCTCTCCAAGTGGGAACTCTGGGAGAAACTCTTCCCGCAATCCCCGCAACGGTAGGGTTTCTCACCCATATGGATACGCCGATGCCGGTCAAGATGGGAGCTCCAGGCAAAGCTCTTACCACAATCACCGCATTGGTAGGGTTTGCCAGCAGCATGGCTCCGTTGATGCTGCAGCAACGCGGCATTCAAGCCAAAACCCTTCCCACACTCCCCACACTTGTAGGGCTTCTCGCCGGCATGAGCGCGCCGGTGCTTGGCCAATGCCGTGCTCTTGGTGAAGCCCTTCCCGCATTCACCGCACTGCAAGGGCTTCTCGGGGGTTTTGGAGCCTTCAGTGCCGCGAGGAGCTGGACAGCGACCGCAATCGGCACAACGGCAAGCGGGTTCGCCGGTGACAGCGTGGGTACGGCGATGCCGGTCGAGGTGGGAGCTCCAACTGAAGCTTTTACCACATTCGGGGCAGGCGTAGGGCTTTTCACCGGTGTGGATCCGGCGATGTCGCTCCAGATGTGAATTCCAGTTGAAACCCTTCCCACAATCCCCACATTTGTAGGGTTTTTCCTCCAGGTGTAATTTTTGGTGCTTCACCAAACTGGCGCTGGCCGGGAAACTCTTCCCACAGACACCGCATTGGCAAGGTGCTGTGCCAGCACCGGCGCTGGCATGCACCCGTTGATGTTGGATGAACGCCGAGCCAACGCTGAAGGTCTTGCCGCAGTCGGGGCACTTGTAGGGTTTATCGCCGGCGTGCCGGCGTTGATGGGTGATGAGGGTTGAGCTGAGCCGAAAACATTTCCCACATTCGGGGCATTTATGGGGTCGTTCGGTCCCTCGTCGGCGTTTGTTGAAGGCTGAACCAAAAGCCAAAGCTTTGCCGCAGTCGTGGCAGCGGCTGTGGCTGAGCAAACTCCGCGGGGGGAATTTCTTGAAGCCTCGGTGGCCTGATTTACTCTGTCGCTTGCCTGATGTCTTTCTGGGCTGGTTCTCTGTTTTTTGGGGACCATCACTGGGTTTTGTCCCCTCCGCATTGGTGGGGCTGGTCCCCTTGGGCTTTCCTGCTGGCGTCCCCTCGGCGTCCACCTTCTCCAGCTCACCCGGTGGCGGGTCTTCCTCTTCGTTCTCACTCAACAACCCATCGTCTACAGGGAAAAAAGGAGCTGAGGATCCGGCCCCACCACTGAAAACCCACCAGTTGGCTGCCCACATCCCTCCCAGGATCGCGGCAGCCGTATCTGATTGCTTTCCCATCTCCTGCACCCATCAACCCATGGTTTTGGGGCTTCCAAAACATGCTCCTAGTCATCACCAGCGCCAACCAGCAGCACGATTGGTGACTTACCGGACACCAACCCCCTCCTTCGGTGTGATTCGGCAAAGGCGGTGATCCGTGGCCAACTGATGGCGATTTCCTCAGCTAGGGGAGACAGTTAGATACTGGTTATAGCTCTTTCCACCCCAAAAATTGTAACGCCAGGATGGGGATGGCCAAGGACACCAGAGGCATAAAGCTGCGGTTGGAAATGTGGTGCCAGTTGAAACCCCCCCAGGCTCTATTTAAGCTCAGTCCTGGCGATTTTGGTGGTTTTACACTTATGAATTCAGCCACTAATGAAGGCCAATTAATTTAATTTTAGTCTTCTTGAGTAATAATAAATTAGGGAGAAATTAGGGGAAATTAAGAGCCTCACCCAGGGAGATGACGCTCTCGTAGCTCTCCTGCATCTTGTCCCAGTGGTCCAGGCTCGTCCCGGTGCTGGCACGTTTTGAGGGGGGGATGTCACCGGTCCCTGCAATGCAAATGGCTCCGGTTCAGGTATTGGGGTCCACGGTGCTGGGGGACCCCCCCCCCCAAATTGAGCACCTCCCCCCCAAATTGAGCACCTCCCCCCCATGTCTGGCTGGATGTAGGGACCATACAAGGGGTCCCCGCATCACCCTGGGGGTGTCATGGCTGGGTGGCGATGGGTGCTGGGGTATGACACCCCCCCCCGGGTGTTTTAGGGTGCTTCACCCCAAAGCATCTACCCTGTGGGAAGGGACCCCCCCCAGATGCCCCCCCGGAAGGTTGGGGGCCACTTAAATAAGGGTTGGGGTGACCCCAGGGAGCGGGGATGGGGATGGGGGGGTTAAATGCAACCGAGGTGAAGCCAAAGGGGTGGAAATTAAAGGGGGGGGGCACGGAAATGTAATGGGGGGGTTTAAAATGCAACAGGGCTGGAGGGAAAATGAAAATCGCGGTTGAATGCAAAGAGGGGAGAAATGGGG